AAAAGTTGATTTAAAAGGGAGTGGCGATTTCCCAGGTGGGTTCTGAAGTCATCTGGTGCAAAGCACGCATTGACCCTATTGACACGTGCAAGTAATTAGGGCTGGGTTGTGTGTGGGGAGGGGTTCAGACAAGCCGGTGAACTTCGTGACAACCAATCAGACAGTTACACGTGCAGGGCGAACGAGATTACAAAAAGTGAATTGTCCTCGGTCGAGGCAATGCGTTTTTAAAAGGCACGGCGGGAAAATATGGAAGACAGAAAAAGAAAGAAGGCCCAGGTGCCGGAAGTGAGGAAGACAAATATTAAGTTAATGCAAAACTTCCCATTTAACAACCTTATCAATACGAGGGAAATCTTAGAAGTGTCTTTAAAGTTTAAATATCTCTTTGTGACTTTCACTTGCATCACCTTTAAGAATTTTTTTCAGATATATGACAGTTTTACTTTAATTTAGTAAAATAAAAGGGCTAGATATACATATATACAAACTGTGCCTCATATACTCTGTTTATTCCCTGAAGACTACAGCGGAAACTAAGTAATAGATACGTAAACTTATACTAACGCTGAAGTAGTTGCGAGCAGTTGTCTATAATGATTTATAAGGTTTTAAAAAGGAGGAGATTTTGATTTTGAAGTCAAATAATGCCTTGGGTGACTTTAAAACCGGAAAAATAGTGAAAGAGAGGGCCATTTGAAGAAAGTTGCAACACTTGTAATTGTAGGAAAAAATCAAAGATAAACACGTAAACACATTTGAATGACGAATGAAGACAGAAATAGAATTTTATCTGACGACAGTAGTCGTCATTTTGGTAAACACATACGAAAGAGAATGAGGGAAATAATGTGATTATATATGCATAGGAGTTTATGAATCTTTTGTATTTAAATGTAGTAGTCACCACTAAATCATGTGGTGAAGGAAGGGATGTTTGTTTTCAATGTAACTATGACAATCTAGCTGTATAAGGTCGCCAGCTAGTCGTGCAAATGCGCTTCGCCTCTGGATATGTTACAATAATCGCGGCATTGGAGATTGGACAAAATTAATTTATCGACTCTAATTTCCGCCGATTTCTCACACGCTCGTGGCTTTATATCCTTGTTGTGAAAGTTTTCTGAACGGTTAGTCGAACTATTTTTAAAGATGGTGAAACTTTGGTGTCCTTGTTATTATTTGTTTATTTCTTTTCTTACATCCTGGTTCTGCAAGCTTTCTGAATAGTTGATTAAACTAGGGCTTTGTTTGCCTGGCGATTTTTATTATCCCTCTATTTATAGAGATGGTGAAATTTGACTCATTTTGTATTTTTCTACAAACCGCAGAAGTCGACTGATGATTTTGTAACAAATAGAAAAGCATATCTTATAGGCTAGGACGACGATTTTTTAATTTATCACCAGATAACACCTATCAAAAATTGCAATTGCGACGCATGAAGCAAAAATATGAATTGTTTCTAAATTTAGCGTATTTTCCGATGCCAGTTATATGTAGCATATTTATCAAAACCGATGTCGTCCACATGTAGCATATTTAGCACGCATTTTGGCAAACTGATATCTGCAACATATGGTATATTTCCAGTACAAAAATGTTCTACACGACGCGTATTTTTCAGAAAGGATACATATTTGTGGTATATTTTGTAGATGTGATATCAATATGCGGCATATTTTCCTGAACTGTCATCTTCTGCATATAGCATATTTTTCAGAACTGAAACTGTAAGCAACTGGCGAGATGTATCTGCTACAAATTATTTTAATGGAGATATTTTATAGTTTTTTTTAATAATTGGGATAAAATCTCAATACGATGTTTTACTTAATAACTTAGAAGGCCTTTCCAAAAATGATGTTGTAGTTGATCAAGTTGAAAAATGTTCAGTATAGCCTAGTATATATACACGGGCATGACAGAATTGAATAGACGCTCACAGAAACCGTTTATTTTATTAAACAAGTAATTTATACAAATGAAGTAATTATAAATGGTCATAAATTTAATAACTAATACTTGGTTGACATCCCTTTTGCTTTTTTTTTAATGCAAGGATCCTTCTAGGCATGCTAGCGATGAGTTCACGAATATCATCTTGAGGGATTTCTTGCCATGTTTGACGCAATAATCCTTAAAGTTCGCGCTTAGAAGATGGCTTCCTGTTCTTTTTGCGGAGTTTTCGATCTAATATGCCCCAAAGGTGTTCAATAGGGTTAATATCCGGGGACTGACTTGGCCATGGACGTTTATTGATCCCATTTTGTCTCAACCAATGTTGCGTTGCTTGAGCAGTGTGACATGGAGTTCCATCTTCCATAAATAGGGAGTCAACTTTGCTCATTCTACTACTTGAGAATATTGGAAGGAGCCCTTTCTTTAATATAAAAACATATTTTGTTGAATTAATGTTTCCTTCACACTCCACAAGCTCTGAGTGACCATCACTCCAAATTGCACCCCATACAATTACTGAAAGGACCCCATGTTTCACCGTTGGCTGCAGTCTTTTTAAATCAAACTCTTGACTACAGAGTCTCCATACCCATACTCTTCCACTGTCGGAAAATAATGCGAATCTTGACTCATCAGAGAAAATGACAGTGGTCCAAAAGGTCACAGGTCTATCCACCATATCATGTGCCCAATCCTTTCTGCGTTTGATATTGGCTGGACGGAGAAGTGGTTTCCTTCTCGCAGCTCTGCCATAGTAGCCCAGCTTGTGACAGCTGTTCTGGGACTGACATCAACTTGTGTTGCTATGTCAGAAGCCTTGCAACGTGGATCCTGTTCAACATTTCTTTCGACAAGACGCATGGTTCTTTTAGAGGGCTCAGGGCGGCCTGGATGAGGTTTTTGCACTTCTTGCCCTTTCTGGTGAATTGTACGATCACTCTATTAACAGTAGAAAGGGGTATTGAAAGATTTTCAGATATTTTTCTTTGACTAAGACCACCTTCATGTTGGCCCATGATACGTCCTCGCTGGAATTCGGATAGGTCTGATGCTCCTTTGGTTCGTGCCATGTTCCAGTATTGTTATCTACAATTTTAATCAAATAATCTAAGTTAATTTATCTTGGTTATTAAAAAAGTCTAAGTTAATTTATCTTGGTTATTAAAAAAAAAAGAAAATAAAATTCATCTTGGTGTCTATTCAATTCTGTCATGTCTGTATGTATATATATATATATATATATATATATATATATATATATATATATATATATATATATATTATGCCGTTTTAAGATAATATTTATAGGTTTTTATATTTATATATTTAGAATATATAACATTTATATTTACATAATTAACATATATATAAATTTATTTATATTTATTTCTATTTATATCTATTTATATATAAATTTATTCATAAATTTATATTTATATAATTTTATTTATATAATATATATAATATATAATAATATTTATTTGCTTTTATATATTTATAATACACATACACACACACATATATACACACACAGATATTATACAAAATATATATACATATATATATATATATATATGTATATATATTCTGTCTTTTGTGTCTGTCTGTACGTATATATATATATATATATATATATATATATATATATATATATATATATATATATAGTATATATTATATCTTTTTAAAATGATATTTACGAATATTGTTGTGCAGACTTAGTATTGAGCACGTTCTAAAACCTTCTGAATTTACACAAGAATAAATTATATATTCACACACACACACACACACACACAGATATATATATATATATATATATATATATATATATATATATATATATATATAACGATAAACGTGCAATCAATTTACAAATACATGAATTATTCACACAAAAACTAATGCAAAGGTTAATGATTTTAAATGGCAGAGACATCCATCATCGCAAACAATTCAAATAATAATAATATACAAAAACCTCCGTATCCGTTATGAATGAAATGATCCTTGTTTATATAAATTTCTGCCGTATTAGTTCTTATTTTACTACAAGCTTTCGTCTGTTCCTACAGTAATTATTGAACAATATAGTTCATGCCACTTTGACAGAAAAATTTACCAGTAAAAAATTTGTTCATCACCATATTATGAACGCGCAACCTTTAAAAATTTAAAATCAAACTCAGCGTTGCTTTTGCGCGTTCAAAAACAATAACTCATTTTCAATAGCATTTTCGGATACAACAATACATATATTTTCGTTGTCCTCTTATTACTAAGAGAAAAAACAACATCTATTCTATACCTGAAGATGTCTGTAGGAACAGACGAAAGCTTGTAGTAAAATAAGAACTAATACGGCAGAAATTTATATAAACAAGGATCATTTCATTCATAACGGATACGGAAGTTTTTGTATATTATTTGAATTGTTTGCGATGATGGATGTCTCGCCATTTAAATCATTAACCTTTGCATTAGTTTTTGTGTGAATAATTCATGTATATATATATATATATATATATATATATAAAAGAGGACATTGAGGTCAACATTTAGCGTCTGTTTCATGCTTAAACGCAATATTGACCTGAATACTGCGTTTTAGCATGAAACAGACTGTCGCCATTGGATGTGACCCCACTGTACATTTTTATATTTGCATGCGCTCTATCCCTGATATTGAGCACTTTAACGAATAAATATAGCATACCTTAAAACTATATTTTATCATTCATATATATATATATATATATATATATATGAAGCAACAATTTTCTATATTTTAGTAGCCAGGTACACTAATATGCACATCAGCATATGTATAAGCGTATATTACATGAGATAGATATGATCTATCGATTCATCGATTTGTTTTTATGGCTTGCCATGCCTTTCTCAGGTTATTTAAAGCCAGAACATATTTTTAGGGTATTTGTACGTAAGTGAATATAACGTACACGATTGGAACTGGAACTCGGCTTTTCGATTCCCAATTCCAAGCTGTTATCCATTACACCTCCCGCACATCCAAGCTTACAGCACTTGGTATTCCTAAGCCGTCACCCATCCAAGTACTGACCAGGCTTAACGTTGCTTAACCTCGGCGATCGCACGGGTATCTGGCCATAACCAGATTCACGGCATGAGAGGTAGAGGCAAACAACAAATAACCTAGCTAGCGAGCTTGAGTAAATGGCGGAACAAAGTTCAGGAGAGATAACAAATAGACTACGGCTGAATATGATGATAATGAAGAAGAAGAAGAAGAAGAAGAAGAAGAAGAAGAAGAAGAAGAAGAAGAAGAAGAAGAATGTTACATGCTTGTCGTTACTTTCATGGCAAAGGTTCAGACGAATTTCATAGTTTAGTTAATTCAGATCTTTACAGGTATGGCCCATCTTGCTACTTCCACATTTATTCCCTTCATATTTCATTGGCAAGAAAGCGCTTCTTCTCAGCTTCTCTCTACACTGAGAGGCTCTTGAGACTTGTATTTGGTGATTATTAATAAAAAATGAATGAGCATTATATATTCGATCAAAGTTCAGTTAATACATATGATACTACGGATATATTCATGAACCATAGGATAGATAGGTAGATATGAAGAGAATGTGACAGATAATTAAATGAATGTGATAGATAGATCTTACTTATTATAAAACGCAGGTTGTGTGTGTGTGTGTGTGTCTGTAACGTTTATATGTTGGATCGAATTTCCTACATTTTTTAGCCGATTTCAACAAAACTTCACAGGACTACATAAAATTACCTTTTGGTGGTTCTAACGGCGGCGAAAATGGGAAAAACACAGTTGTTTTTTAAGAAAATCAATTTGAAAACACGATTAAGACACATCGTGAGAATGAAAGGGGGACAACTCACCCACGAAAATGTAAACAAAAGAGCATAGCATGATGAAAAAGACGCCGAACTTGACGAAAACAAAATTTTATCGTCTAATGTTCATATTATTATTAAAGAGGAAAGATCAAAGTATTTTTGGAGTATTTTTTTTACATTTTTTAATCGTTCCTAGCACGTCTGAAATTTTCGTTAAAAATATTGTTTTTTTTTCAAAAAAAAAAGGACAGATAATCAATCATTTTTAATCATTTTTTTCGATTTGATAAAAAAGATTAAAATCTTACTTTGATATTCTTTTAAAAATCAATTATCATTTTTTCAAAACTGATTTTAATAAAAACAGATATTATACTGTTTATTTAAAATATTTTGAACCAAGCTTAACTGCGCTGAAAAAATGTAATTTGAAATTAAAACAAAGCAGGTCATAACCTTTCGCGTCGCTTGACGATTGACGAAAGGCACATTCATGACGTTTAGATAACTTACGGAGGGTAATTTTTCTACGGATGGAAGGAAGTGAAATTATTTAAGTGAACAAATTATTTACCTCGTTACTTTTAAGGAAAACTTTCAGCGCTCTAATTTTTTATTTATTTATTTTTTTTTTGTACTTAGCTTTCATTTTACGTTTACGATGCTTTATGGAAAATATAAAGAAATTAAAAAATAAGACTGTTAATAGGAGATTAAATTTCATAAGAAAAAGGTATCTAATTAATTTAGGTACCTTTCTTATGAAATTTTATCAGAAGTGTACATAAAATACTATAATTTTATGTACATTTATTACATTTTACTGTGTTATTTGTATTTCCATTCATTTTATTATTACTTTTGATATTAAATTTATGGAAAAAATGTCATAACTGAGATTAATATAAAAATAAGATCATATAAATTAAAGTTTAGCAGTAGTTAAATTTCATAAGATGATACTGTTACTTGTAGGTACCCTTCTCAGTTGAAATTGAAAACTCAAATTAACTTCTCCATATGTGTTTCGCAAAAGTAAAGGGCTTAACAGCGGAGAACAATGCTGAACTCAAATAATGCAACTAAATTGTATTCTGGGTTGGTCTTCCGTACTTGATAATTACTGTCCGACTATAAACACAAAATTACATTTCTTAATTACCATGGCTAATCTGATTGGTCCAAATTATACAATTTTCAAAGTGCTAGACAATGACAATCTCACACGGACATTTTGAAAGGTTGATGATGCATTTAACTAATGTTAAAATATTTTTTAAAATTCAATTTAAACATTTTTAAAAATCTTTTTAAAATTAAAGAAATAAGAAATAATTGTATTAAAATTCAATTTTCATTGAAAAAAATTTTTGCTTCCAGAAAATATTGTCCATATTCATAAAAACAAATTAAAACAAATAAAAGCATTTGAAACTAAATAATATATTTGTTTTATTGAGTTTTGTATGTTACAATTCACAGCTGATTTTCAGGTACGTTGGCCAAAACAAAAAAAAAAAACAAAAAAAAAAAAAAAAATACATGATTTGCATTCTTCAAAGCCTTGTGCTTTTAACTATTGTAATCACTAAAACCGATGGTCTCGAATTTCTAGAGTTTTTCATAAAATTAGTTATGGGGGTGTTAATAAATATAAACAAAATATTTCTGCCATGACTTTAATAAAAAAAAAACATATTTATAATAATTTCGATCATCTGTGAATAGTTTCTGAAAGTTTCATTAACATCTGACAATTATTTTATTTTTGCAAGATTTTCCAAATTAATGTGTGTAAATACAAAAAAAAACGCGCTAAAATTATCTATGTTATTTACTACCCCTTGTTGCGACAAAGAGAAACAAGGTTTTTAAATCAAAATTTAGAATATTCTAAAAGATGGAAAAATTTTTTAAAAATAATTAAAAAAATTTTAGTCTATCCTCTTCATAAAAAACATAAGCATTTTGACGATAAAATTTTGTTTTTCATAAACTTTAGCGTCTTTTTTCATCAGACTATGCTCTATGTTTTAGCGATTCCGTGGAGTGACTTAGGTAAAAAAACCAGGTTGTTGTGTGTGTGTGTGTGTGTGTGTGTGTGTGTGTGTGTGTGTGTGTGTTCCTTTATATATGGGATCGGATTTCTTACATTTTTCAGCCGATAAAACAAACATCCACTTTTTTTTTTTTTGGCAGGTAGTATTTCTTATTGTCTTGCACACTTTTTTTTTATTTACATTCAGAATGCTTTAAAAATTCCATTTACAAGACAATTGTTCATAATAAAATTCTATTCACCGATCGATAGACTCATAACGATTGTAAGCAATGTTTTTGTTTGAGTTTGGGTTTGACCAATTTGTAAAAAAAAAAAAAACTAATTAAGACATGCGTGTCCGTCAACCTTAAACAATAATCTTTGTCAATTTTATTTTTCAGTCTTTATGATGGTCGATACTTGATCTATCTGTTACTGTTACATCCCCGGGCTCTACTGCTAGTAGATAGATAGATAGATAGATAGATAGATAGATAGATAGATAGAAGAGAATGTGACAGATAATTAAATGAATGTCATAGATAGATAGATAGATAATTAAGTGAATGTGATAGATATGAAGTGAACTTAATATATATATATATATATATATATATATATATATATAAAAGATAGATAGATAGATAGATAGATAGATAGATAGATAGATAGATAATTAAGTGAATGTGATAGATATGAAGTGAACTTAATATATATATATATATATATATATATATATATATATATATATATATATAATAGATAAATAGATAGATAGTACATGCAGTAATTGTGATAGACAGAGGAATGAGAAATGAGTATGGTAGATAGATAGTTATGAAGTGAATGTGATATATACATAAATATGCAAGCTCAAGCTGGCTCCTACGGACGGCTCTTGATTGCACCTTCATCACAATAGGTAGGGAAGAGTAGATGCAATAGGCAAGAATAAACTACAGGACTCAAAAGTGATCGCTTCTTTTAAGTATTGCATTAATATTTAATTTGACCTTTTAAAAGATTAACAATAATAAAGAAATTTGATGTACGTAGGTCCTTAATTTCTGTACAAAAATTATTTGATTGCGAGTCCGGATCCGTCCCGGAATCTCTGTAATTTACTCACGGAGTTGGCCTGATTCCAAAATGGTATGATATGTTGGGCTACGGCCTCTAGGAGTAAAGTTAAAAAGAGTGACACACTGACACATTGACATTCATATCTCTCTCTCTCTCTCTCTCTCTATATATATATATATATATATATATATATATATATATATATATATTATCCACTGTTACATTGGAACATGTAAAGTACTACTACAAAATTATACATTTTGTTTCAATCTGATGAGACATTGTTTATTAAACGTCGAAACAAAATGCACAATCAATTTTGTAGCTTTAACCTACCTGTCCTAACGTAACAGTGTATAATAAATATTTATTGCTCTACACTTGTATTGAGCCCTGTTTTAAATTAATATTTTGAACGTTTGGAATTTATTCTTCTTTCTTTTTTATAATTGTGTATATATATATATATATATATATATATATATATATATATATAGAGAGAGAGAGAGAGAGATATATATATATATATATATATATATATATATATATATATATATATATATATATAAAGTGAGTGTGATAAATAGATAGACAGAGATAAAGATATGAATGTGAGATATATATATATATATATATATATATATATATAGAGAGAGAGAGAGAGATAGATAGATAGATAGATAGATAGATAGATAGATTATTGCTCCAAACATCAACATTCGATTTTTGGTCCGCTGGGAATATTTTAGTTTCGTCTTACAGACAGATTGCTTCGATTTTATTTTCACTAAATTAGATTGGCTGAAAATAAAAGGGTACTCTGACGGACTATATTGTTCACCCCGACTTCTATAATTACAAATAAACCTGTAATACCTCAATTTTTTGGGAAACTTCATGTGCATTTTTTTACAGATCATGAATTAATGTATTTGAAAGAATGTGCAGTGATGCCCAAAACAAAAATTTTATTTTAATATCAAACTATAATACAAAAAACACCAAAAAAACACTTAACATAAGACAAAATTATTGTCCCTCTTGCCCCAATAATCGATTGTGTAACCTTTATTTTTAATTATTACCTTTAACCATTTTTGATAGTTCCTTACAAGATCACTACACACATTAACAGATATTTTACTCCATTC